GTGTTAGGGTTAGGAATACAGAAATAAACATTACCTGCTTGCTTGCATCAAGATATGACGTGTTAGGGTTAGGAATACAGAAATAAACATTACCTGCTTGCTTGCATCAAGATATGACGTGTTAGGGTTAGGAATACAGAAATAAACATTACCTGCTTGCTTGCATCAAGAAAGGGTTAGTTTTTTTTTGGGCGGGGGATAGAATAATGCTGATGGCACAAGGCTACTATTGAGATTTCATATAGAGATGACAACACCAAATGCTGCAGAAGACTCTTTCATTCATACCGATCTAATGCTGGATCTTAGTCTTGATAGTGGAAGACCATTTTTATGACTGTCAAATTGATGGGACAGAGTGACATAACTGCCTCCCCCAAAGATAACCCCACTGAGCTTGACCAAAATGCACATGTGGCTGCAAGGTATTCACGACCACCACCGATCCTTGCATCCACTTTCAGCTGACCTCAGATTTAACTCCTGAACCACTGTTAATACCCCCTATTGATGCCATGGGTAGTTGCTATAGAACATTTCTTGAAGTTGGAGTCACACATCCTACTGACGTATTTCGTTTCCCCATACTACAGACCCAGGTTTTCTTTTTGTTACCACTGTGTACACCTACTATATTGCTAGCGTATTGCGTTACGTGTCCCACGTCTTCTCGAGACAAATAATTCCTAACTTATTTGTGTATAGGAGAGTTGCTCGTGCGTCCAGTAACCTTACCTCCAGCATTGGAAACTTCGGCCATAATATTTCCAAAAGGCATCTTGTTCCCCCATGGTGTAGGCTGGGGTTTTTGTTCTATTTCTTTTATGTAAGCAGAAAATACCCTGTAAAAACATACAACTGTTTTCATTACATTACTTTATATTCATCTTCACGCACAAAGACAAGTAAACATCATATTATGCGATATATTTATAGAGTAATTAAGTCACATAATAACAAGTATCAGAAACATGGAAAATCCAGACAGATAAAATAATGAATACCGTATACTTTTAGAATTATACCTATTCTTTATTGGCATGAACTTTAGAGATCTCTACAAGCTAGTCATTTTACACGCAACTTGATGTAAGAGCAAAGTGATAAAGCTAGAAAATTAACCATATCAATACTATGGAAAACTCTGTTCAATATTATTCATCTTTTACAGGACAATAAAATATATTTAAACTCTGAAGTAAGTGATATTACTTGATATTTTGTTTGTTGTTAAGGGGAAAGCTACATGATGGTCCAATCGTGCTATGCCCATCACAGGTATTAAAACCAGTTTTTAGTGTTACAAGCCTTCAGATGTACTACTGAGCCACTAGGGAGACTTACTTGCTGACAGATGATGGGCAATTCAGTACAGAAAGGGGTAAGAACAGTTTCATTAATACAAACTCTGAACGCACGAACAGTTTCATTACTACAAACTCTGAACCCACAAACAGTTCCATTACTACAAACTCTGAACCCACAAACAGTTTCATTACTACAAACTCTGAACCCACAAACAGTTTCATTACTACAAACTCTGAACCCACAAACAGTTTCATTACTACAAACTCTGAACCCACAAACAGTTTCATTAGTACAAACTCTGAGAACCCACAAACAGTTTCATTACTACAAACTCTGAGAACCCACAAACAGTTTCATTACTACAAACTCTGAGAACCCACAAACAGTTTCATTACTACAAACTCTGAACCTACAAACAGTTTCATTACTATAAACTCTGAACCCACTATTAAAATAGCAGATATTTTAATTTTTACTTTTCTTAAACAATTATCTACTATTCACCTAAAACAGAAGAACCGACTTTCCACAGAAGATGATTAGACTTGTATTCATATTTTTCTTTCTTTAAACATGTAGGTTTACTACACATCTAGTTGCTGTATTCTAACACCTAGACATGTAGGGTTATTACACATCTAGTTGCTGTATTCTAACACCTAGACATGTAGGGTTATTACACATCTAGTCGCCGTATTCTAACACCTAGACACGTAGGGTTATTACACATCTAGTCGCCGTATTCTAACACCTAGACACGTAGGGTTATTACACATCTAGTTGCCGTATTCTAACACCTAGACACGTAGGGTTATTACACATCTAGTTGCTGTATTCTAACACCTAGACATGTAGGGTTATTACACATCTAGTTGCCGTATTCTAACACCTAGACATGTAGGGTTATTACACATCTAGTCGCCGTATTCTAACACCTAGACATGTAGGGTTATTACACATCTAGTCGCCGTATTCTAACACCTAGACATGTAGGGTTATTACACATCTAGTCG